TGCATTGGTGACCTCATACTACGTAAACACCATTGCCAATATTCCTCGGACTTCCAACCCCGCCTCCGTAAGCTCCGTAAGCTCCGCAACCCCCGAGCTTCGCGGACCGCCTCCGGCACTCTCGCCGTTTTGTAATGTATTTCTCGCAATTCCCCCTCATCCCTATTTGGACTACTGCTTCCTTCTATTCTAGCCAGTTAGTCATCATCCCCACATCCCCTCATCCTCCTGCCCCTCTGGGCCTCGCCCTCTCTACCTCCTTTCGGACGTATCACAGGTCTTGCCCTATGACCTTCGGTACCGCTCCGCCCCCTCTACCCTTTGTTCCTGTTCAGACGTCTTCGTTCCGATTCGGTCACCCTTTGTTCTCTTTGTGCTTTTGCCCCTTCCATTATATATATCGGCGCTTGTACATACTCGTTTTGGTTTTAGTCCGAAATCGACCTGAAATGCCCCCAAGAGACTTCCTGCTCACCTACTGTGAAATTAAGGACCAAATGGACAAACAGCAATGGCACAGCGCTCCGCTTGAGTCGCTGAGGCCAAGGTCCCTCCACGCTAAGTCTCCGATTCCACTCTGGAGTCGTCCGTTTCCGCCCATTCTAACAGAAAGCAAGTACCCTGAAGGTTGGCCCAATCCTAGTCCGGAAGGACTAGAACTTCCAGATGTACCACATCTGGAAGGTCTCTCCATGAACACCCCCGAGTTCAAGATACTCAGGGAGTGGTGGAGAGAGAAATTCGAAACCATAATGGCGCCAGCGCCATTAGAAATGCCTCCCTTGAGGGAGGTGAACCATTGAATCCCGTTGAAGGATCCGAACAAGAAATTTTGGGAAAACACCCCAAGATGTCCTGCAGCACTGCAGGAAGCACTAGTGACCAAAATAGATCGCTATGTAAAAGCAGGATGGTGGTATCCCATGAACAGCAAGCAAGCATGCCCGCTACTGTGTATCCGCAAAGCAGATGGATCTTTGCGCACAGTAATAGACATGAGGAATCGCAACTCAAACACAATCCTCAACGTTACACCAATGCCAGACATGTGACTGATCCAAGAATCAGTGGCCAGAGCAACATACCGATCCAAGATCGATATGTCGGACATGTATGAAGAAATACGTGTGGATCCAGATGACATCCATATGACGACATTCTCTACACCCCACGGGACGTACAACTCGAACACGATGCAGCAAGGAGACTGCAATGCTCTCTGCACCTTCCAGTGCGCACTGACCTGGGAACTATGAGGAGAAGTAGGCAGACGCCTACACATCTGGTTCGACAATATATTCACCAGCACAAGCTCGGTGGAGAACCACAATAAAGCATTATTGTGGTTGTTCACTCACCTAAAGGAGGCGAAATTCTACATAAGCCGGAAAAAATTCCAGCCATTTGCCCCAATCCTAGATGTTCTAGGAAGCCATGTGGACGAACAAGGCATCCACGCTCAAGTGGATAAAATGGACAAAATCTGCAACTGGCGAGAGCCAGTAGACCACACAGGAGTCCTAAGATTCCTGGGAATGGTAGAATACCTATCGATATTCATGCCAAACGTCAGTGGCTACACAGGACCACTGCAAACAATCTGCTCAAACAAGCAGACATTCAGGTGGACACCACTCCACCAGAAATGCTTCGACAAGATCAAACATCTAGCATGCAGGGCTCCGATCCTGAAGCCCGTCCAGTGGAATCCACCTGTCAGGGTTCAGCACCCTGCCTTAGGGTGCCCCGGACTCCCCACCTACTTTACCCCCTTTTATTCTTCAACTGCTGCCTTGTTGTTGCCTTTGTGTGTTGTGTACACGCACGCGCACGGGATAGCACGGGAACTTTCTGAGCGAGCAGCTCGCCCAGAATGTTCCCACGGGTCACAGCCACAGTTCTGGGCGAGCAACTCGCCCAGAACGTTCCCATGCTTGGCACTGCCACCTGGATGTTCCCTCCGGGTCACACTACACAACTCTAAGAGCTGTATAGTTGTGGGCATGTGACCCATTCCTTTATATAGCAACCATGCGGGGAGATGAGACCTTTACCCTTCTTCTCATCTCATGCCCCGCATAGGCAAGTGTATATATTCTCTTTCCTTTTACTATACATCTCATGCCCCGCATAGTGTGAGGACAGGCCAGATGGGGGTTGAGGTCAGGGAGCCTCCGAGTCCGAGGCCGGGCCCTGACACCACCGGAAAGCCTCTTAGAAGAAGAGAGGACCAAACTCCACATCTGGGTCATAACAGACGCATGCCCAGTGGGCATGGGCACACTAATTGGACAAGGCGAAAAGTGGCAGACTTGCCGCCCAGCCGCATTCATGTCCAAAAAGTTCACCAACACACAATGTAGGTACTTTGCCTACGAGCTCGAGGCACTGGGTGTCCTCGAAGCACTCATGAGATGGCAAGATGATCTCATGGGAGGCCGTGAATTCACAGTAATCATGGACCACAAAGCTTTGGAATATTTCAAAGCAAAAACCACAACTCAGGTAGACACCTGAGATGGCAAGCCTTCTTCACAAGCTTCAATTGCGAAATAAAATATGTGGAAGGCCACAAGAACAAAGTGGCAGATGCACTCTCACGGTACTATGACTCGTCAATGGACGAGGATCTGCATTTCGACAACTACGTGTGGGTGGACATCCATCTGGACAAAAATGCAGAAGATACTATCCCCAACAGAATCGAGGATTATGAAGAACTGCTACTAAGCAGTACCCTGAGTAAAAACTCAGAGAGAAAGAGACTCGCAGCGATACGCGCGAGAAATACCCTAGAGGAAGCTCTAGGGGGGAGCACCCAAAATCTGGAAGAAATCATAATTCCAGAAGAGAACCTTCAAAAACAATTCAAAGAGAAAGACCTCATTGAGGCAATAAAATCTGGATACTGGCAAAGCCAGATCCACCGGGAAATCCTAGAGAGCCCGGGGAACTTCAAAAACTTCTCCGTAAAAGATGGGCTGATAACCTGACTTGGAGAAGGAGGAACGACCCAACAAAAGGGAACTATGAAAGGAAGTCCATTCAAGGAATAATCCTCAAAAACATCCACGAAACACCTGGACACTTAGGATCCAAGAAAACAGTGGAAACCCTCTGTCAACACTTCTGGTGGAAGTCGATGAGGAAGGATACCCACAAGTTCTGCAGGTCTTGTGGAACTTGTCAAACAACAAAGAAAAGCACCAGGAGAAATCCCGGACTGCTTCACCCACTCCTGACCCTGGAGACACCATGGTCGTCAATAGCTATGGACTTCACAGGTCCATTCCCAACAAGGTTGGGATATGATTACCTCTGGGTAATCATTTGTAGGTTGACGTCCAACGTTCACCTAATTCCGAACGCACTAGAACTAGCATTCGTATTTCTTCATGAAGTTGTAAGACTCCATGGTCTACCACACTCGATCATATCAGATGGAGACTCGAAATTCACGTCAAAATTTTGGTGCAAACTACACTGAATACTCGGTGTGCAGTTGAAATTCACAACTGCATTCCACCCGCAAGGCGACGGCCAAGCGGAAAGAATGATACAAAAAGTAGTACAAATACTACTTGCAATGGTTAGACCAGATCAACGTGACTAGCGAAACTGTCCATGGTGGAATTCGCGATCAATGCGAGCTCGAACACATCAACAGGATTTGCCCTTCAAATTAATCTACCACCATATGCCAAAGATGTGCCTAACAGCACCACTCTCGGACTACCTGGGAGTAAACAACTTCGCCCAAAAGGCAAAGGAAAACCTCATGGCAGCACATGATGCGATAATACACAATCGTGCCAAACAATCCAGGTGAATAAGAAAAGACGCCCGGACCCACCTTTGAGAAAAGGCGAGCTTGCATACTTATCCATGGATAAGCTGAACCTACCCAAAGGAAGGGCAGGAAAACTAAAGCCCTTATACATAGGGCCTTACGAAATTCTGGAAACATTTCCAGAGACATCAAACTACGTCCTCAAGTTGCCACCACAACTTGAACAATGCGGAATCCACCCAAGATTCCACATATCCTGGCTCATACCTCATGAGCTGAATGACCAAGAAATCTTCCCAAATAGGGAAGTAAACATATTCTAACGTTTTTAATAACTTAATAACTGTGTCATAAATGCTTCCTATAGCATCAAAATTGTCAAAAATCTGTCTCATATAACACATAAAGTACCACCACATCTGCCCAATGTATTCTCATCGGCTGTTGGGTAGTTGTTGTAAATAAACGCCATGAAACGTTTCTCAGGCGTTTAAACGATATACAGGATTTTCCGACACTCGAAGTCATAAATCACATGACAATTGTAGTCTGGGCGAAGCCCTCTGTCTCATTCAAAAACACCCCAGTGGACTGTTATACATGAAGTTGAATTCTCCTGATTCCGACCCCTAGTCCCCCGTAATTTCCACCCACCCTTCCCTCACTCATCCCGGTGTTCCATCTCATCCAAATCCAAAGTGGGTTCCCACACAGGCAGCGGCCCAAAGAAGAAAAATAAAGAAAAGAAAAAAGGAAGAAGGAGGGAGGGATGGCACTTCCGGAAGTGGATGAGGGGGGAGGGGAACAAAGAAAAGAATTCAGCGCAAGGTCCTGACATCACACTGCTAGGGAATAATGAGATTATAAGCACGCAACTCATTTTCCCCAAGGGCCATTTGATGGACATACATACCGGGGTCATGTTACTTTGCATGAGACAACAGCCCACCATGAACTTCTCCTACCTCATCCTCTGCTGGGTATATCCAGTATGACATTGACCTTAGTCCGTGTTCGAGCCAAGAGGATTTGAGTCTCACCATGTCGTGCATACATGCCTGAAGCATGTCCCTAGCATAATCTTCCTGGAGGACCCCATGAGATGAATGAATGGAATACACAGGAAGTGGGATATACTCACTTTGTCGAGAAATAGCTGCTTTGCGGCCAAGATGAGCGCCTTATCCAACACACAGAGGAACGGACTGCCATGCTATTCCCATTCATGAGAGGCATCGGTGAAGAGAGTATCAGAAAGGGGGCTCAGGTAAGCTACTCCCTCGCCTCCTTGCGACCTCCCACACCCATCTTGACCGCGAGGAAAAAAACTCTCATCGGATGTGCCCATGGCAAGTGCCGGTGTTTGGTTCTGACCCATCACACTATTCCTGCCCTGTCCTGCCATACCCGCTGTCAGCACATACTGGTGCTGGTTAACTGCATAGCCAGTTGTGCCATCTGTGCTCGAGAAGCTTTGGCTCAAACCGAGGCTGTCGCTACCCCACCACACAAAAAACCCATGGTCGCAAGTCCCATTCCACACTTTCTGATTCAAGTTTGCTAACATACTAAAAGGGCGAGTTACGATCAACGCACTCTGATTGGTTACCTACCACCTCAGTCGACACACTTCCACAATGTCTCCTCTCTTTCCCGCTCTCTCATTAAAGTTCGATTTCTTTTTATCCATCCAGTTCGGTCCCTCCTCCTTGCGTTGGAGATCTCTTATTTGTTCAAGGTTCATTTATCCCTTGATTTGTCAACAAAGAGTCCATCCCTTCCTCCTCGCTCTCTTCCTGTACTACCTCCTCAGTAACAATCCCGGAAGAGATATGCATCCTATTACTGAGACGAATGCGTTTTTCGAATTCACAGGCACATCCACAAGCGCAGTGATCACTACTTCACTCTGGCCACCGGAGCGTATCAACCCACAGTAAGTGGCTTTAGTGGTTCAACCAGGAGTCCACACTCATCATTATGCAGTCAAAATCCGTCGTTCATTTCTTGGTCTACCTTATCATAGCAGCCGTTTCTCAATCTCATTGGTTCGGCTTATCCTTATCGCGGTTTCATTACATATTGACACTTTTATTTTTAGGCAGGACCCAGCCTCTGTCCTAGATAGTAATCCTCAGTCCTCAAACAACCCTTTGTCTGACTCTTCACTTTCACCGATTTCTCATTGGGCTTTGACTTCCACTCCCACGTGGTGTTCAGTTACCATCTATCAACTTCAAATCATTCCAACTTCACTGACGATCTCAAGTGCCTTCGCATATCGTGGTCTTCGTTTGTCAACTTTGCCTGTTGATGTTCGGTGATCTGATTCACATCCATCCAAGGTATGCTTTAGAATCAAGTTGTTGGACGGGCCCATTCAGATGCTGCCAAGTTATCGACCTCCTCATTTGGCTTGGCGGAACATGCCGGTACCATTCCACTCGGGGTATGCCAGCACGGCAGAAGGAGACTCGTCTTCAATGGGCTGGGTGTGAATGATGGAGAAAAACCCTTACCTTGACCCTGCTGCGCAAGCATTTCTCGAGGAGTTTAGATTCGGATCGTCCTCTGTCCGAGACGTGAGCGCTGAACTCGATCATCGTGTCAAGGTGCTCAAGGCAACCGGAGGGTTCTCTTCTGTCTACGCAACCGATGGGCCCCACCAGGTGCCCAGACCATTCGAGTGAGTCCCAGCCCACGTCGCTGTGGTTTGCGATGCATGTGATGTTGATCATTCTAGGTGTGTTACAAAGAATTATGGCCACTTTCCAGCAGTATGCCGGAGCAAATTAACCAAACTGGAAAATGAATGAAAGTCAGGTTTTTTGCTCACTGTCGTTCCCAGCACCTGACTCGTGAAGTCAGGATATGGAAGGAACTTTGGCACCCCAATATCCTTGAGTTCATTGGATATGCCATTGCAGGCGAACGGTCGGACATGAAGGCTATCTTAGTGTCCAAATGGTGTGCAAACGGGAATGTTGTGCAGTATTTAAGAGCACATCCAAACTCGAGTAGGACTGACTTGGTGAGTGTCAGTTTGCGATTGTCATACTGTTATTTTTGATGTATATCAGGTTGTTGGTATGGCGAATGGACTACACCACTTCACAGGTGAAACCCTCAATTGTTCACCGTGATCTGATGTCAGGGTCGCATCCGGGGTCGAGGTGGTCCGGGCGTAGCATCCGGTGCTAAGGACCTCACGGGGGGTGGATCGGGCGTGCGTACTGGCGGGCCCGATGTGGGACAGCGATCCCTGGCCACTTAGACTGAAGTGGGAATGTTGAGAAGAAGGTTACTTCTTCGGTTCCCACCCCAGGTGTGTTTATATACATGCGGCTTGGGTCACATGAGGTCCGCCACGTCACCCTGCATACAGCCGCAGTCACCCAGGTGTCCCTGTGGGGGATCCCGAGGGTGTATGCTGCACACGCACGCACTAGGTTGCACCCTAGAGCCATCCGGGGTCGTCCGGGGCTAGGCATGTCGTGTGCGCGTCCCAGGCGGGTCAATAATACATGGATATAAGGGAAAGGTCGTCTGTGTGAAATAGAAATAGAAGTGGGAGAGGGATAGAGGGGGAAGGGGTATGAAGGAGGGGTGCAGGGTGGGAGAAGGGGTACTGGGTGAGGTGGGCCCGGGTGGAGGCGGGTCAAGCGGGTGTGCCCTGACATCTGAAGCCAGTGAGTGGGACCCTCTTTGGCTCGTAGATACACTGCCCTTCCTAGGACAACATCTTGATAAGTGGTCAAGGTGCAGTGCAAGCTCTGTGACTTTGGTATGTCCCGTGTAATGAATGAATTGTCCAGAGTTGCCCAGACGACATTGACTCCGCTGGGATATGATACTCTTCATATGAAGTCATTGTTGAGGAGAAGAAGACAGAGTTCAGCGATGTCTACACATTCGGGTGCACATCAATACAGGCAAGTGTAACTTATTATCCAGAACAACGGAGTCAATGATGCCGGTTCCTCAGGTGTTGTTCGATCAACACCCTTTCCCCGACATAAAAAATGATCATAGAGTGATTGCTGCAGTTGAGAACCGACAATCTTCTTGGGTGTGGGACATGGATGTACCCATTCAACACATTCTTTCTCGATGCTGTGATCCACATCAGAATGAATGCCCGTGAATTAGCAGCACCCTCCACGATCTTGATCGCATCCTGGGAATGATGGTTGACGGTCTCTTACACCGACGTGTCTTGGTGGAAGGAAGGGCTCTGTGCCAAGAAAACCAACCAGACCAGCTCCCGAGCTCTGAAGCACCTGAGCCCCTAGGAGTGCCATGGTCCCATTTTCGGGCCCCGGAATGTTTCCGAGCTCGAGAGTACCCAGTACCCCGACCCAGTTCCGGCGCTTCGAGGTGTTCCGGAGGGGAATACCTTATCCCCTGGTTCTGATGATACTGGTTCTGATGATACATCTATACGAACTGACTGGCTGTCAAAGATAATCAGGAGATTGTCAAGTTTCTTCCGCCTCGTCCTAGCAATAATAATTATCAGCCCTTTCCCACCTTTGCATCCGTTGGGATCATAATGTACAAGACTCATAACTTGGTCTCCTCAGCTCCAACAAACGGCGCTGTCGATAGTTCATTCAACAATGACGATGCCTATCACGTTGTCATTGGTGCGGGAGTTGTCGGCTTAACCATGGCCATCGAAATTCAAGAAAGGATTCCAAGCGCTGAAGTTTATATATATCGTCACAGAGGTTCTACCTGGGGATCCAAAGTCAATTACAAGTTTGTGGGCTGTAAGTGAATGTTCACGTCAACTATTCCCTGTTCGTGTCTTGACAATTGTAACTAATCCATATTGACTTGCTACTGTGAACAGAGGGTGCCCACCATGTTTCTCAAGCCGAAAATGAGGGCCAGCTTAGTTAGTGAATGACAGTTTCTCCACTTATTCTCAATCTCCATCCAGGGTTGGACAATAAGACATTCCGAAGGAGTCGGAGGGCAGGCATCCGGTGGTGTCCTGTTATTTTGCCTCTGCATACTTGCATTGGATCAATAAACCGATAAGTACCAGGTCCTGAAGGATTCTGAGCTGATCAAAGGGAGTCTTTCTAGTGTGGAATTCACTGCGCTAACCATGGACACTCCAGTATAGTGAGTGATTTGTTGCCACCTTCCGCCATTGCACCACAAGTGAGAATGACACAGCCCAAGGGTCTGTTGTGTTGTATATATTATATTGTATTACAAACAATTGAGATGATGTGCCAGTACTGGTCATTCTGCTGGCCACAGCTCCCCCACCCCTACCCACTAGCTGTCTGCCTCATTATGTCCATTATTTGGAATCCGGCCCATCGCCCTGTTACAGTGTTGTGACAGTGACTCATTTGTCACATTGTCTGTGATGAATTTAATTGGATCTTTCCAGATCTCGATCTCTCACGATCTGAGTACCCGCTCCATCTCGAAAATGCCAGCAGAACCAGGATCTTTGCAACAGGTTGAGAGTCTCATGGAACTCGACTCCATCCAGAATATCAAGGGTCTCCAATTCAACCTGATGCTGCCCAAAAAGTGGATTCAGATGAGTCCCGATGAGAAGATGGTGCAGTGCTCTCAGATCCGCAAGCAAGCGCTGATCGGAGTGGGAGAACTCCAGGTTTACGATGGTGATGGATTGAGACTTCAACTTGGGGGCCGAAATGCCAGGCTGATCCAGGACACCCCAGCCAAGCAGATCACTGAGGATGTTTACTGCTACTCAGGCCCTCGGCGCCTGACTACAGACATGGCACTGAATCTGGTTGTTAGGACTTCTTGGATTGATAAGGGAGAATGGCCACTAGGGATTGACACTAGCAACTACAAATCCCTTCCCCTAATCACTTTCACTGAGCTTGGTCGCAGAGCGGTAAATGCCAACCAGGTTCATGTTATCAATGGCCAACATCGGTTAGTCTTTTGCTTCTCATACTTCAAATAAATTTCAAACTAAGACCCTTGCATAATATTAATAATTAATTCACATATGTAGAATAACAGGCCTGCAATATGCATACAAGCATGCAGTGGACGAGGTGAAACACCTTTGGGGTGTGTTGAATCAGGAGCATGTCAAGATGGAGACATTAAAGACATATAGACAACAGAGATATGACCAAAACTCTCGGAAAATGAGGACAATGTTCAAACGGAAAGTGCAAAGAACAAGCAGTAACGACCAAGACGAGCTTGATGGCCCACTAGAAAGGAAGGGATCTATTCTTAATCCACCCAAACTTTCATAATAAAAGGTTCATGCATCAATGAGATATTCATTAACAGGATGAGCGACATCAAAGTCATGGCTCAGGGAAAAGATGACGTTCACGCAAGATCCATATTTAAAACACAGAACGAAATTTACATGGAAAATATCATAAATTGGAAACTATCGTTAAGCAAAGTTTCAGCCCAAACGGTCCAGCCGTTGTGAAGTTACACCAACAATGGGAATTGTCAGAGACCGGGTTGAGACAAAGGAATGTCTCCATGGTGGAGGGCTTCGGCCTCAGCGACTTATGCCAGGAGCGCTGTGCCAAGTAACATGTCCATGCCCTAACTTACTAACTGGCTGTCATGGCCCCGCAAAGTCCCCGCCCCTCTACCACTTTCTGCACCCCCATTCTTGCGCCTGTTACTCGCGCCCGTTAAATCGTGCCATTGCCCATCACTTAGCGGCGCCAATAGTGGTTCCCGTCCTACGGCCCCGTAGCAGCGCCTCCTTTGTTCTCCCGCCACCACTTAGAGTTCCTCAGCCATTCAGCTGATACCGTTTTATTCTATTCATTCGCTTAACTAACTAGCGGTTGATATGGTGGCCGTTGATCCGCTCCTTATTGACATTTGGTTTATTTCTTTATTGACAATTGGTTATTCCTTTATTGACATTTGATCTATTCGTATATTGACATTCTGATCCGCGCACTTAGATTGTCGGCCTATTCATTCTGCCTCCCAACTTCGCCGTCCTCTGTTCCATTTCCCTGGTTCTTATCGCTCTTTTAGTTCTGTCATACTTACCATCCCGCTCCCATCCCGCGCCGGACCGACCGGCCCCTTCTCTGTTCTCCTCCCGTATTTATACTTGTAGCTTACTGTCGATGTACCTTAGTTCGAATATTGACTAGAATTCCCCCCCAAGTACTCTCATCCTAAGTTTGCCTCTCAACTTCATCCCCGCTTAAGTCAACGTCACCGCAAGGTCTTTCCTGCTAATGTGAAATATGGGACAGCCTAGAATGCGTGGTGCAACGCTCTGGCCAAGTCGTTGAAGCCGAAGTCCCAACCCCACGACGCCTTGCAACGGAGTAGCTCATTAGCTAAGTGACCACTCACACCGCCATACTCCGCTCCGCTTCCCGCGATCACCTCGAATACAGTTTCTGACACTGGCAACCAGAACTGAAGGGGGGTAAACTCTAGTCGATTTTATTACTGAGGTGTAACCTATGTACAAGTTGAGTATATATAGTTACAACGAGGGCAGGCCCGCAAATGGCGGAGCCAAGCGGAGCAGAGCTAATGGGTTTAAACATCAGCTGATTGAATATTACCGACAAGTGGGGTTACAGGGTTAATGGAATGGTAGGCGATAACCCAGAAACAGAAAGGAGGGATAGGCCCAAAGGTGGGCTTGCAGGGCAAGCGAATGTATTGCCCAGCGGAGGCAGGAGTGTGCTAGCGGATGTCGGAGCTGTCCGGAAGCCTTCAGGGCTCCGTACTTAGGGAGGCATTGTAACGGGTCTATCCAACTAGACTCGTGGCTCAGGTCTAGGGGGGGTAGGTCTCTCTCTAGTGTCAGACAGATGTAGTGGGGTCCTTGAGTACGGTGCTATACTCTGTCTAACCTCTAACTAACTGTCTGTACAGTTGTCATGGAAGAGTCCGATACAAATATAAAAGGAAAGTCACATGTGTGAATGAATGAAAATAGTAAGGAAAATAAAGAACAAGTCATATCTCCTCAACCACTCCACCAAATCCGACGATCTTGGACCCGTCAGAACCACCTCCACAGTCGCTACATCTCCTACTATTACCATGACTCACCAATCGTAGTCCCTGATGCAGTAGGGGGTGAAATGCGTGATAAGGGTTGGTTTGACCTGCACGGACTTGTCCCCACAACAGCGTAGGTAATAAATTGAAAAGAGGGGGTGGTGACCATCGAGGGATACCGAGGTGATTGTGGAATACGGGAGCTCCGAGGTTAGTGAAGAAGGAGCAGAGGTAGTCTGGAGAGATCGGAGGTAGTGGAAGTCGATGGCCGTGGATGGATATGACAGTATCCCCTTCTTAGGCCTGAAGCCTCGAAGGCCCAGAATTAGTAAGGTGAGGGGAGCTGTACTTACAGAAAAGAAAAAATGAAAACAGAAGTGAGGAGTGGAGAGAAAGGGAGAGATGGGAGAGGTGTCAGGGTTCCTAAGGAGCTTCAGGTCCAGGCTTATCTGGGTACCGAGAGTGGAACGCTTCGACGAGGTCGGAGGTGTGATCGAGTTCGCAGGCAAGGAGCCATTGTGTCTCCTCATCGGTCCCTTCATAGCCTAGCCACTTGACCAGGTAGAGCAACTTGTTGCATCTACGTCGGTCAATCTTGGGGTTGAGTATCTCTTTGATCTCGAACTCAATCTTGCCTTCGATTTCTATGGGAGGCAGAGGTGGCTGGTGGCGGTTCGGAATGATGTTCCAGATGGAGGGTTCGATCTGCGAGACATGGAATACTGGGTGAATGGCTTGCATGTTTTCCGGCAGGCGGAGAGTGAGGGAGTGAGTTCCAACACGGGCAATGATCTCAAATGGGCCGAGGTTTTTCTCAGAGAGCTTTTTGGAAGGTTGGGTGGAGCGGAAATACTTGGCCTTTACATAGACCGAGGTTCCTACCTCGAAAGCTGGGGCAGGAGTCTGCCAGGCCTTGATAACAGATCTGAGCGAGGTGCATTTCCTCACGAAGGAAGTGGTGGAGGGAGTCGAGATCGACAGAGTACTCTTGGGTGCGTACTGATGTCAGGTCTCGCTCTGGGTGAACGGTGATGTTTGGATGGTAGCCTTTGTTGGCAAAGAACGGAGAGACACCTGTGGTGGCATTTGGAGCATTGTTGTAAGCGAACTCCGCGAGAGGTAGGAGTTTGGACCAATTGTCCTGCTGGTAGTTACTGTAGATGCACAGGTACTGCTTGAGCGTCTGGTTCATCTGTTTGGTCTGACCGTCTCCTTCCAGGTGATAACCAGAGGTGAAGTGGAGGTGGATGTCGAGGGCCTTACCAAGTGAACAGAAAAAATGAGAGACAAACTCCGGACCCCTGTTGGAGGTGACGTGGGAAGGAACTCCGTGCTTGGAGAACACATGGAGGAGGAAGAGCTTGGCCAGTTCCAGAGAAGTGATGGTATCGTGGGTAGGAACGAAAATGCACTGTTTAGACAGGCGGTCCACAATGACCAAGATGGAAGTGAATCTGGAAGAGGAGGGTAGCTGTTCGATGAAATCCATGGAGATGGAGTTCCAAGGACGTTCGGGGATGGGGAGTTGTTTGAGCAAGCCATAAGGCTTATGACAGGGGACTTTGGCACAGGCACAAGAAGTGCAGGAGGAGATGTAGCTCTTGATGAAGTTACGGATGCCCGGTCAGGTATACTCACGACATACTCAGTTTTGACCAAAGTGTCTGGAAAGTTGGTGGTTGTGTTTGTCTCGCAAAACACAGAGACAGAGATTGTTGGAATCCGGAACGTAAATGCAGTTGTCCAGCCTTAACAGGCCTTCGGCATCAATGGACCAGTGGGAATTGGGGAGGTTGGGGGAAGCGAGATGAGAGGAGATTGTGGTATCAGAGGAGAGGGAGGCTAGAATGTCTTGATGGAGAGCCTCTGTGTCGACGAGTACTGCTGCTCGGATTACTGTGGCAGCTAGGAACGTGGCTCGTAAGGACACAGTGAGCTGCTCCAAAGTGAAGACCGGTCATGTCAGGGCAATAGCCCCGAACCCCAAGCCACATGTAATTAGATACATATAGTCACATGGGTAAGCGGGAACCTCTGGGTAACTGCTTACACACTACCGTAAAATACACACATTTGTATCACTTACAGCTCTGTGTGCTGAGCTACCCTGAGACCTCACAGGTTGAAAGTTCTGCAGGTTGACGCGAGCGTAGTCCATATCCCCTTCTTTGGGATAGATGTCCCAGCATCTAGTCAACACATCTGGTTTTACTCCGAGTCTTCCGGGACGGAATCGGACAGTCATGTGGAACTGGGAGAGGAACTCTGACCAGCAGGCTTGCCGCTGGGTCAAGAGTTTGGTGGTGGAAAAATACTCAAGGTTCTTGTGGTCAGTGACGATGTCGATTGGAGTTCCTGAACCTTCAAGGTAGTGACACCATGATCGGAATGCATCATGGATGGCAAGCAGTTCCTTATCATGGGTGTTGTAATTGAGCTCCAGCGCCGAGAGTGTTCTAGAGCGGAAAGCAACGGGGCGAATCTCTCCGTCATCACAACGGATGGACAGGATTCCGGAGATCGCGTAATCGGAGGTGTCGGTTTCTACAATGAGGGGGGCATCGGGTAGCCAATGTGTCAGGATGGGAGCGGAAGTGAAGGCTTCTTTCAAGGTGTTGAAAGCAGAGCAACAGTCATCAGAGAATAGCCAGGGGGCTCCTTTACGCGTAAGGCGTGTCAAGGGGACCACAATGTCGGAGTATTGGTGGATGAAACACCGATAGAAGTTAGCGAAGCCAAGGATGGACTGGACATCCTTGACTTTATGGGGCTTGGGCCAATCTTGGATGGCTTTAACCTTCTCGATGGACATGGTGAGTCCGGGGGAGAAAGGCAGTATCCGAGATATTCCATAGTGTCCGTATGAAATTTGCATTTCTTCGGATTGGCATATAGGCCGTGTTTGTGGAGTCACATAAGAACTTCTCAGACATGCTCCTGATGTGAAGCCATGTCTTCCGAGTAGGTAAGGATGTCGTCTAGGTAGACTACCACAGAAACGTCCAAGAGGTCGGCAAAGATTGTGTTGACAAATCGCTGGA